CGAAATGTTAGGAAGAACAACCTTCAGAACACGGCCAAAGAGCCCGAAAAGCCCACAACAACCAGTTAGGGTTGTGAGCAGAGTTTGGCTGCAGAAAAGCATCTTAACCACTATGGAAGGAAGAGTGGATCAGCAAAAGTTACTGCTTTGCAAAGAAGTTACTCTTTTTTCAAAGTTTCAAGCTAATTTGGAATTTGATTTGCATTGAAATATTTATTTATTTAATTTATATCCCACCCATCTAGAACAAAGTCTACTCTGGGCAGTTAACAACATAGAAGAATAATAAAATAGAATAAGCAACAACAGTTAAACCATAAGGATAATAATAAATTAAGTATTGACAGGAGGGAAGGCCTGCCTAAAGAACAGGTCTTGAGTTGGCTCTTAAAAACACCCAGCAAGGGGAACAGACAAATTTCTGGGTGGGAGATTGTTCCAGAGGTGAGGGGCCACTGCCAAGAAGGCCTGCTTTCTTGTTCTTTCTCTTTGGGCCTCCCTCGGCGTTAGGCCCCTCAGCCACCCATCTTGACTAAAGTGAGTGACTCAGGTAGATCTAGATGGGAGGAGGCGTTCCGCCAGATATTGAGGTCCTAAGCTGTTCAGGACTTTATATGTCATCATGAGTATTCTGAAATCAATGTGGAAATGAACGGGCAGCCAATACACGGCAGCCAAAGTAGGGGAGATATGTTGGTGTTTTCTCACCCCAGTAAGAAATCTGGCTGCTGCGTTCTGCACCATTTGAGCTGTTCAGGACTTTATATGTCATCATGAGTATTCTGAAATCAATGTGGAAATGAACGGGCAGCCAATACACGGCAGCCAAAGTAGGGGAGATATGTTGGTGTTTTCTCACCCCAGTAAGAAATCTGGCTGCTGCGTTCTGCACCATTTGAAGCTTTCGTATCAATCTCAAAGGTAGCCCCATGTAAAGCACATTATAGTAGTCTAATTTCGAGACTACAAGTGTATGGACCAGAGTGGTGAGGGCTCCCACATTAGGATAGGGACGCAGCTGGGCAATCTGCTGAAAGTGAAAATAGGTGGTACAGACACTGGTGCTACCTGGGTCTCAGTGGTGAGCGCTGGGTCAAGATGGACCCCAGACTGCGAACTGATTTCTTTGTGGTGTCAGCCCTCCAAAGAGAGTGACTTCCCAAAACCACTGACATCTGGGAGACTGGCCCTCAGGACCTCTGTCTTGTCCAGGTTCAGCCTCAGGCCATTCACCTGCATCCACCTCAGTACAGCCTCCAAACAGCACTGAAGGGACGAAATGGCATCTACTGTTGATGGAGAAAAGTAGATGTATAGCCGGGTGTCATTAGCGTACTGATTGCACGAAGCCCCACACCCCCTGATGACCTGACCCAGCAGCCTCATCTAGATATTAAACAGCATTGGGAAGATAATGGAGCCCTGCAGGACCCCACAGTTAAGATTCCACAGAGCCGATACACTCACCCCAAACTGTACTCTCTGGGGATGGTCTTCCAAGAACGATCAGAGCCAGGCTAGCTCCACACCACTGATTCCCAGCTCAGAGAGTCTCCCCAGGAGGATACCATGGTCGACGGTATTGAAGGTGGCTGAGATATCGAGAAGGACCAACAGAGACATTTTGCCCCTGTCTGCTTCCCTCAGCAGGTCATCAAACAGTGCAACCAGTGCCATTTCCATACTGTGGCACAGCCTGAAGTCCAACTGAAATGGATCCAGGGCGTTGGTTTCATCCAAAAGGGCCTGGAGCTGGTCAGCCACCACCCTCTCCACCACTTTGCTGAGGAAAGAAACATTGGTGACGGGCCTATAATTGCCAATGTCGTCCGCTGCCAAACTTGGTTTCTTTCTAATGGGCCTAATGAGTGTCTCCTTGAGGAGACACTTGCCCTCCCGTGGAGGCCCATTAATTATTGCAATGGCCCATTTGGTTGTTATAGGCCTGGCTACTTTGATTAGCCAGGCCGGGCAAGGGTTAAGGGAGAAGGTGGTGGCACGACAGCAGTCAAGCACTTTGTCCACCATATCTGGAGTCACAGGCTGAAAGAGACTGAGTCTCATTGGGCAAGGCGGAGTGCTGGACGTCTATGCTCAATCTACTGTGTTCGAAAAAGGAGAGAGCTCCCAGTGGATGGCCGCCACTTTAGATTTTAAAAATGCTGCAAATTGGTCAGGTGAAATACTAGTAGGAGACCTATCACTTAGAACACTTCCAGATAGATTGCGGACTATATGGAAAAGTTCCACCTGTTGATTTGAAGTTTTACTTATCCGGACAGTGACGTAAGCTTGACTGGCAGCCCTCACCCTGGTAAGGTAAAGGTTAGTCGCAATCCTGACAGCTTTATGATTATAATCCGTCGGGTTTTGTCTCCACTTGCACTCTAGCCTTCTCCTGCTTTGCTTCATCGCTCATAGCTCCTGATTAAACCAGGGCGCTGGCTGAGCTCTGCAACGGATAGGGCATTTAGGAGCGATCATGTCAACAGCCCTGGTAGTGGTGGCGAGCCAGCCATCAACCAGAGCCTCGACAGGAGCACCAATCAGATCAGCCGGAATCCCTTTCACAGAGTTCTGGAACCCTATAGGATCCAGTAACCTTCGAGGGCAGCAATTAAAATAGGTCCTTGCTCCCTGTGGAGTTTTTATTGTGTCTTTTGAGGTATAAGCTCTTGCATTGGTATTTTTATAGCACTTTTATGCTCTTGCACATCTGATTTCCCACTGGAATTAACTTTCAGGGATAAATGTGAGCTATGAATAGACCACTGTTCATCAGGTCCAACTTTTAGGGACACTGAGCAAAAAGCTATGGACTGAACAAACCTATATATGTCCTGTGGTGTGGAGTACTGATCTGTGGAATGGGCCTGCCTATGCAATGACATCAATGAAATATTTGGTTTGTTTCATGCACAGTACAATTGGTTGTTTCCTGTTGGCAGGTCCAACGGGACACTGAGCAAAAAGCTATGGACTGAACAAACCTATATATGTCCTGTGGTGTGGAGTACTGATCTGTGGAATGGGCCTGCCTATGCAATGACATCAATGAAATATTTGGTTTGTTTCATGCACAGTACAATTGGTTGTTTCCTGTTGGCAAAAAGTCCTGAGGATTCCTTACAACCTGGACCTTTGAATGATAAAATGAACAAAAAGAGAGAGAATGATTGCTGTGGCAACACGACTCTGGACAAACTGGAAGACAATGTATGGACAGGTTATAAGGTTGGGTACTTTCAATGGCTCCAGGCCGTACTTTCAGTGGCTCAGAGTATACCCTGTTAAGATGCTATGGTCACATCATGTGCCACAGGACAAAGGGATGATTTCCTTTCAGGGAATAAAGAAAAGTGGTGCAATTAAATTATTCAGTTGGAACTTCAAGGGAAATATTGAACAGGTTAATGTGAAGGTAAAGGTTCCCCTTGACTTTTAGTCCAGTCGTGTCCTACTCTAGGGCGGTGGCTCAGAGTATACCCTGTTAAGATGCTATGGTCACATCATGTGCCACAGGACAAAGGGATGATTTCCTTTCAGGGAATAAAGAAAAGTGGTGCAATTAAATTATTCAGTTGGAACTTCAAGGGAAATATTGAACAGGTTAATGTGAAGGTAAAGGTTCCCCTTGACTTTTAGTCCAGTCGTGTCCTACTCTAGGGCGAGGTGCTCATCCCGTTTCCAAGATGTAGAGCCAGCATTTGTCTGAAGACAGTTTCCGTGGTCACGTGGCCACCGTGACTAGACACGGAATGCCGTTACCTTCCCACCGTGGTGGTACCTATTTATCTACAGTGGTGCCTCGCACAACGGGCGCCTCGTAGAGCGATGAATCCGCTCTACGAAGCCATCACAGAGGCTTCTGCGGTTTAACCCGCAGCAGCACCACGCCCCCTACTGAACAGGTGAAACAATTTAAATATTTAGGTACACAGTTTTATTACAAACACACCTGGCCTCGGAATTGTAAGTACAGTATTGAATTCTTCTAGAGTGACAACACAGGCCGTTTCCATTTTAACAGAGGCAATTTTTATGTGCTCTTGAAGTGTTTAACACCAAAATTATACTACAAGTGTTGTATAGCATCTCATTTGGATGAGGGCTATCAACTGCTCAGTGGAATGGATCCCAGCTTCATTCTTACGGAAACACTCAGGGATGCCAATATGTGTCTCATATGCCAGTCTGTGCCTGAAAACATGGACTCCTTTCTCATGCTCAATATTTCACCTACAGATGAGTCTAGTGAGGATTCAGAAGACAACTGTAAGCGCATTAGAAGAACGCTAGGATATAATAAATAAATACGACGAATAGTAAATACCTATTGGAGCATGCAAGGTTAAAACCAGATGTATATCAGGATCTTGGGCTTGTATTTTAAAGGCTTTCTATTTCAAAAGGGTGATAATGCATCTCTTTGCATTTTATGTCCTGGACAGAAACTGAGGAACTCGGTGGCATGTAAAAAGTCTTTGAAAAGAGGAAGACCAGCCACGAGATGGATCGACTCTCTACAGGAAGCCACAGGCTTGAGTTTACAACAGCTGAACAGGGCTGTGGAGGACAGGACCTCTTGAAGCGCGCTCATTCATAGGATCGTCCCACGTCTGAAGCGACGGAATGGCACACAATGCTCTGCGCAAAAAAATAAAATAAAAAAAAATTGCCAACTCTGCACACGCAGGGCAGCCACCCGACACTTCCGGCTCCTCATTGGCAATGCCTCCCTTTGGAGCGGAGCAGAGAGAGAGAACATAGAACTATGAAAATGTGAGAGGAGTGGCTCCCTTTCATTATATTCGTTGAGGAACCGGAAATGAGAACAGCGCGCCTACGTTTCCCACTTTATGGTCTTCCGTGAACGTCCGCGGGCGACGGGCCTCCTCGCGAGGAAGAAGAAAGGTGGGCGCGCGGAGGGGGGGCAGAGATTTGGAGAGGGTTTAAAGCCCCACATGCCCCCCCCGCACACACCCCCAGGGACCACGAGGGCTTCTCCATGCCACGGGGATTGCAAAGGGCTTGGCTTTGCACAGGTCTGTGCTTGGGGGACAGGGACCACGAGGGCTTCTCCAAGCCACGGGGATTGCAAAGGGCTTTGCTTTGCACAGGTCTGTGCTTGGGGGGAATTAATATTCGGGGCGAGGGTGGGAGGGAATGCTAGGGGTCAAGACTCCACCCAGAGGGAAGGGAGACCACCTGAAATGCAAGTCCCAGAGGAATCAAGGGTCCAGTACGGTGGGAGGGAATGTTAGGGGTCAAGACCCCACCCAGAGGGAAAGGAGACCACTTGAAATGTAAGTCCCAGAGGAATCAAGGGTCCAGTACAAGAGGTCCTTCCTTCCTCCCCCCCCCCCAAATCCGACGTCCAGGAGGGGAGGTGAAAAAAAAAAGAGGGAGAGAGGAAGTATATTCGACCCCACCCACTCCACTTTTGTAACTTTTCCAGCTTAATCATCAAAGCTGGCACTATAGAAAAACCCTGCTCCTTCCTTTGCTAAAAGGAACCACAGGTAACAAGGGCAGGAGAGACCAGTGCTGGACCACGAGGAACAAACCAACCCCACCCCCCAAATACCCACCTTTTGATCTAAACCAGGTTTCATCAGGATGTGCACTGATATAATTAGAACAGCCCCAAAGGTCTTTGCAGAAGTCTGGGTCTTCTTAAAAGCCAGTTTTAAATCGTAGGCTGCAAACATCAATCGGAAATACAGGTTTAATGCAGTTTGGATTTCCACTTCCAGCTCCTTAATCAAGTCATCATCTTGTGCCCTCAAGTCAATTTTGACTTATAACGACCGTTTCCAGGTAGAGAATACTCCGAAGTGGTTTCTCCTTCTTTCCCTTCTTCTTGGGGGCATTTCTGGGCCTGTGCAGCTTGCCCAAGGCTACACAGGCTGGCTCATCTCCCAGGAGGGGAATCGAACTCCCAACCTGTGGCTTCACAACCAGATCCCTAAAGTTTAAACCATTGAGCTATCCAGCCAGCCCTTCTGAGCCTAAACGAAAGGCAAAAAATTATCCAAGCTTGTTTTTTCCACCATTTACAATTAAAGGTGAGGCTGTTTCTCTTTTGTCTCACTGTAATTTGAAAGAAAGAGGAAAAGGTTCTGGAAATGCTAAAAGAGTGAGCAAGGAAATCAGAGGAAGAAAGTAAAAGACAGATCCATGAAATAAAAAATTGATCCTCACAATTTCATCTGATTCTTATGTCAGACCTTCTCCAAACCCATGGCTCTGAGGCAGAGGGCCTCATTGATCATGATCCACATGATTTTTATGTAGGATCTTCCGTAAACCGTAGTCAAATCAAAAGTCCCATCTATGTTTACAGACTGCAGCACAGAAATCATGGGCAGTAACTTGGGGAGAATCCATGCTGAACGATTCACCAAGCCATGTGCTGAAGGACCCTTCTGTTTTGTTGAGATTACCACCCAAAACCATAGCTTTGACTAAACCGTAAACCGTAGTCAGATCAAAAGTCCCATCTATGTTTACAGACTGCAGCGCAGAAATCATGGGCAGTAACTTGGGGAGAATCCATGCTGAACGATTCACCAAGCCATGTGCTGAAGGAAACTTCTGTTTTGTTGAGATTACCACCCATCTTGGACTCCTTTTTCTATAAGGATCTCCTGTCATAGGAACTTACTTTAGGTTTCGAGTAGAGATGGGCATGAAGCCCATCTCTCACCCCATGGCCCGCTAAGCCACTCACCAGACCGCACACCAGGGCAGTTTTCCTTTTGCAATGGGAGGGGGGAGGGGAGGACTGCAGGATTAGAGAGAGAGAGAGAGAGAGAGAGGCAGAGGGGAAGAAGGCAGGCAGGGAGGAAGCTGTGACTTGTCAAGCAGCATTTTTCACTCATCACAGACGAATGGATGAGTGCATTTTTCAAGCCCTGTTCCTCTTTCTCCACGGGTCGTCTTCAAATTTTTCTGAATGCTTTGAAATAAATAAAAATATTATCCAACATGCAGAAGAATTTTTGAAGTTTAGTGTTTTTAATTGTTGGAAAACTCACTTGACTCAGTAAAAAAATTTCTTTGGCCATTCAGTAAACTTCAGTCTTGGACTTCTCTTGACAGTTCTTTCACACACACTTCCTCAAAGAGGCACAGTTTTTAGTTTGGCAACCAGTACCTTTTATTACGATGTGAACCCTTTTGTGCTCAGCGATTTAATTTTTAGTTAACATTTCTAGGATCATGATCTTAATCTCAGACCAGCTCATGCAACTGATTTCCCACCCCCTTGGGTCTCTCCCACAGGGCCCAGAAGGATGCCAGCAACAAGGATCCCTTTTTCCGTTGCTTGTGATGGAGCTGAACCAGATCAGGTACGACGAAGAGGATTAAAAGATATGTGGATCCGTTTGTATTCTCCCACTTTAGTCCTGAATGAGGCTTTTCAATGAAATGCTCCACGTTTGCAGTGCTTACATACCAGACTGATGCCATGGTCCTCTCTAAGCAGAGAAGAGCAATAGCTATAATAATTGGCTGTTGCAACTGGGGAAGGATTTTGTTTCTCTTCACTTTTGAAAAGGTCCAGGATCTGTGAGGTGCTCTAAGTTTTTCATGAATGAATGTGGGGACAGTAAGAATTCCTGTCCTATTGCCTTGCTGTGAATCCCTCCCTCTTCCTCTCTCTCTCTCGCTCTCTCTCTCTCTCTCAGGACTTCTCTTGATTTGTTGTATTGGTTTCAGGAGGTTGTCTTTAGGAAACCAATGAGGAGGCCTTGCTTTCTTTTCCATTTAGGGTTCAGTGGCCTTTGAGGAGGTGGCCGTATACTTCACTTGGGAGGAGTGGGCACTGCTGGATCCCGACCAGAAGGCCCTCCACCAGGAAGTCATGGAGGAGAACTGGAAAACAGCGTCCGCTCTTGGTAAGGCCCCCCCTTCTTCCCAGCTCATGCTAATCTCTCTTCATACCAGTGCGAGTAGGACTTATAACAATAACATCAACCATAATGCTTCAACCCAGTGCTCTGATTTTCAGTCTTCCAAAACCTTTTACCTAGTTCATTAATCCAGGAGACCAAATGCATTTTCACACATATGAAACAGAAAAGCTCTAAAGCAGAAATTGAAGATAGTAGAGATCCCGACCCACATCAGTATTTAACCTTGCATACTTCAATGATTGGTACTTACTTGTTATATTAATAGCCCACATTTCTTTTGAGTGCATTTCTTTTGAGACACTCACAGCTGCCTTCTTCATCTGTTTATTCTCAGTGCAACTACCCTGTGAGGGAGGTCTGTCGGAGAGAGACCGAATGGCTCTGTGTCACTCAGTCGGTGTCATAATTCATCAGGAAACAGAATAGGATCACCTTTCCCACACCCTAACCAGTGGTTCCAAAAGGTTTTGGCATCACATCCCCTTTTCTACTCTTGAGAAGCCCTTGTGCTTCTCTATGTCTTCTTTAGGGTCATCCAGGACGTTTTAAACGGAAAAAAAAATCAGTTTCCAGTTTATTAGGAATTAAAATATTTTTATCCCACCTTTCTCCTTTAAAGGACCCTAGGTGGCTTACATCATTAAAAAGACAATATTTAAAAACTAAAAGCAATAAGCGTACAACTAGTGAAAAGGAATTAAACACGTATCATATTAAAAGCGCTATATAAAATCAGTACTGAGAATCATTTAACATGAGTAATAACCCCCCCCCCAAAAGAGCCTCTTTTTTTCCTTAATTGTGGAAAAGTAACTTAGTGTAAGAAGGAGCAGAAATCAGGCAAGAAAGAGCCTCTGCTGCATCAGGAAGAGCAGAGGAATCGTAAGCTGGAGGGGCAAGAGATACAGAGGGAGGGAGCATCAACCTCACATCTGAAGCCGGGGGAGATGTTTGTGTCCTGAGACATCCAGTCTTTCCGCCTTGGGCACCAACAGAAATTGGGCTTGGGGACAAAAGTCAGACCTCACCAACTTTTCCATCCCTGTCCCCACCCTCATTAGAGATTTCTTGTTTAATTTTACTTTCTAAGAGAATTAGGGTGGTATCCTAATGGTTATATGTGCCTCTTAATTTCAGCTTATTCCATGTGACTGCTGTGATGTTTTAAAAGCTTTTATATCCTTCAGTGCCACTGGCTCGCTTAGAACTTCTTTTTCAATTTTAATATCATAAAAGAGCCAGAAGGTGCATTGAGGGTGACATGTCTTGACCAATGTCTGTCATATTACAGTATGTGAGTTTATGTAAATAATGTATTCTTATTTTCCTGGGTAGTAGTAGTAGTAGTAGTAGTAGTAGTAGTAGTAGTAGTAGTAGTAGTAGTAGTAGTAGTAGTAGTAGTAGTAGTAGTAGTAGTAGTAGTAGTAGTAGTAGTAGTAGTAGTAGTAGTAGTAGTAGTAGTAGTAGTAGTAGTAGTAGTAGTGTTTTGTTTTGTTTTGTTTTGTTTTGTTTTGTTTTGTTGTTATTCCACCCATTTTGGAGAGTGTGGAGTCAAAGAAGCAAGGTAGAGACTTCATGTCTTTGTATTTCTTGGGAAAGGATGGAAAAAATCTGGTGGGTGTAGTACGTCACTCTCCACGGGCATCCTCCAGACTGCTTTTCATACTTTGAAATAAGTAAAAAATTAATAGTAGTTCATTAAAGTAAATCTCACTGTCTTGTATCCCTGTTGAAACGTCATTGGCACACACACACTCTCTCTCTCTCTCTCCTGGGGGAGGGGGCACTTTTTACATTGGGAACCAGTGCCTTTGATTGGGATATGAATCCTCTTGTGCCCAAGGGTTTAGTTTTTTAGCAAGCATTTGTAGGATTATGATCTTAATCTCAGACAAGTTCACACGACTGATTTCTCACCCTCCTTGGTCTCTCCCGCAGGGGCTGGATGGAGGCCAGCAACAAATGTTTCCTCCCCTCTTCCTTGGGATGGAGCTGAACCAGATCAGGTACAGAGAAGGAGGTTTAAAAGGCACTTTATGTTTTGGAATCTCTGCATATTCAAGCACTCCATTCCTGAATCTGTCTGGCCATTCCTTTTTCATTAAAGCCTCTCTTCAGTCTGGCCTCTCTTCCTAGAGAGAAAATGTAGCCAAAGTGACCAACCACCCTTGGTAAATTTGTCCTCCAGTAGAAAGGCTGTTATGGCCTATAATGGAAGTTAAAACATGTAATATAATAGCCAGGTGCTTCTAAATGTTGTCTTGGTTTTAGGAGGTTATCTTCATAAAATCTATGAAGAAGGTCAGCTTTCTTTTTTCACTTTTAGGGTCCAGTGACTTTTGAGGAGGTGGCCGTGTCCTTCACCCAGGAGGAGTGGGCGCTGCTGGATCCTGACCAGAGGGCCCTCCACCAGGAGGTCATGGAGGAGAACTGGCAAACGATATCCTCCCTCGGTAAGGCCCCTTCTTTCTCCAGCTGATGCTAATCTCAGGTGTAACCAGTGCAATAAAGACTAGTAACAATAGCAGGATTATTTAATGCAATTTATTTTATTTTTTATTCTGCCCCATTAGTGCAATGCACTCTTCTGGGTGGTTCACAACATAATAAATAAACAGACATGTAACAGTAGACATATAAATGAACAGACAAAGGAGTTTACACAATAAAAAATTAAATAACATATCTGTGTTGGAGCAACATGGGATCCTTAATGCCAGACTGGGCAAACTCTTGGCTTCTCCAAGAGCTCAAGACAGTTCTATCATCCCCTAACTTTAGCATGACGTTCACTTCATCTTCTACTACTTTTCTTAATTGTCATGGCCAATTATGCCATATTATGGCCAATTATGTGCTGGTGCCCTTACTACCTCCCTGATTGGTGGTAGTATGTTCTATGAGCTGTGACTCCCCCAAAGTCTTGTAGACAGCATTCTTGAACTTTCTTTGACATCAATAAATGATTTTTTCCAGGATCAAATGCTCATTCTCTCCCTAGCCAGTGTAGCTTCTGGCCCTAACATTGCTTCTTCAACATCTCTAGACAAGGCTTACCTGTCCTGCCACCCTTAAACAGATTTACATGGAATTTGTGGAGGGGCATTTTTTAAAATCAGACATTATCTAATAAAAAACAACAAACCACTGTTCTCCTTACTACCTTGAAAGGTCCCTGGCACTGTGCAAACAACTTCTCTGAGGTGGAGGGTAATAATAGCAAAACCTGTCCTGGCTTAAATGTCCTTGACAAGGGATTTCCAAACTTTTCAGTGAGAGGGCCACATCATCTATGCTCCAAATTTTTGAGGGCCAAAGGAAGGTGCGCGCACGTACACATGCAATCCCACACGCCTGCACTCCCACACGCCCTCACTCTCGCCAGCTGGGCTGGATAAAAAAGCAAGATGGGCCAGATGTGGCCCGCGGGCCGTAGTTTGGGGACCCCTGCCCTACTGACCCCTGTCCTACTGAGAGGCACCACATTGGCTGCCACTGCCCGGTAGTCCCCCCTTCCCATGGGAGGATCCATCTCCCCTAGAGACACCATTAAATTCAGCACAGCTGCAAACAAGTGAGAACTATTTATTAAAGTGTGAGTTGTAATAACAGCGAAAACAGGGTTAAGAGTCTCTTCAAATTCTCTAGTTCCCATCACTGTGGCATAGTTTTAGTTAAACTTTCAAGGGATCTGGCATTAAAATATAGAATGACCCTTCTCACCAACCCCTTATTCATTTCTTTCCTGTAGAAATCCTCCCTTAAAGCCTCTTGCCTCCATTGCATACCTTAAATCCTTATCCTGAACATTTCAAATCTGGATCTCCAGGCCTTCATTCTGCAAAGGCTAGTAGGACTCAGCCACATGATGTAGAGGTGAAAAAGACTAGTACAGTTTTAAGCTGCATCCATAGAAATATCCTATATGGATCATAGAAAAGTAGAACTGTGTTCTGCCTTGACTGGGGTTTTGTTGGAATGCTGTGTCCAGTTCGGCATATCACCATTTCAGGGAGACAGCGAGAAGCTGGAACATGTCCAGAAAAGGCAACCAATAAAGAGTTTTTGAAAAACGGTTAAGGGAGTTGAGGATGTTAATCCTGGAGAGGAAAGGATTGAAAGGGTTGATAGCTTTCTGTAAATATTTGGGTTGCCACACAGAAGGTGGAGCAAGTTATTTTTCTCTTGTTCCAGAGATAGAATTCCAACCGGTGGCTTCAGATTACAAATTTTGAAACTACACAAACAGAAGTGGCCCCTCACTTTGGCTCCCTCTTGACCCTTCCTGCTTTCCCCTTTCCAAAACTCAAGTGTATTTATTTTTCCATTGGAGAACAGGAAACAAGGAAAATTGGGAAGAAGCCAAAATCTCTGCTATGAGATCGGGCAACTGATCAACTAGGTCATCTAACACAGCAGAAGCTATTGTGGTGATGACTAAAGAAAGTCTTTCACAAACCTAGCCATTGTAATAGTTGGGGCAGAGAGAGGGCATAATGAGTTAAAATAACACAGCTGCCTGCACCAAGTTACTTTAGGGGTACATTTGTTAGAAGGAATGAGCCTTTTTTTGCTCCCATTTCACTTTAGGTCCACCTAGACCCTGAGATCCAGAGTTAGCACAATGCAGACAAAAGGCTTAATATCTTTCCTTAATCATCAAGATTCTAGATTTAGCTGTAGATGTGATGGCAAAAATTAAAACGAAAAAAAAGGATGGGAATAACTGCAGAGTTAGTCTAATGAATCAAAATTCACTTCAATAAAGTGTCTTTTTGCCCTGTAAATACTTGTTTCTTCAGTTCAGTCTTTTCTTCATTTCTCCTCTTTCACAGGACATAACTGGAGGGAGAAATATATATGTCTAAAAAGTGAAAAGAATTTTAGACATAAATTAGAGCTTGCCAAAGACCAGAGAACCTACATAGAAGAAGAAAGCTGTGTGCAAGAGAAGCCCTATGAACCCCTCATATGTGGAAAACATTTGGCCATGATGTGTCACAAAAAAGCCCAAGATGGAAAGAAGCACTTTGTAAATGAAGTATCTGAGAAAAGTTTTGATTGTAAGTTACTCCTTGTAAGCTATCAAAGGGCCCACGCAGGAGAAAAACCATACCAATGCCAGGAGTGTGGGAAATCCTTCGCTTGGAATTCAAGCCTTCTCATCCATCAGAGAGTCCACACAGGAGAAAAACCGTACAAATGTCAGGACTGTGGGAAATATTTTGCTCGCAGTTCACGGCTTGTGAGTCATAAGAGAATCCACACAGGAGAGAAACCATACACATGCCAGGAATGTGGAAAATGTTTTGCTCAGATTTCATACCTTGTATTTCATAAGAGAATCCACACAGGAGAGAAACCATACAAATGTCAGGAATGTGGGAAATGTTTTTCTCACAATTCAAGCCTTTTCAGTCATAAGAGAGTCCACACAGGAGAGAAACCGTATGAATGCCAGGAATGTGGGAAATGTTTCGCTCATAGTTCACGACTTACAATTCATAAGAGAGTCCACACCGGAGAAAAACCATACAAATGCCAGGAATGTGGGAAATGTTTTGCTCAAAATTCAAACCTTGTGAATCATAAGAGTGTCCACACAGGAGAGAAACAATTCAAATGCCAGGAATGTGGGAAATGTTTTCTTCAGAATTCACAGCTTGTGAGTCATAAGAAAGTCCACACAAGGGAGAACCCATACAAATGCCAGGAATGTGGGAAATGTTTTGCACAAAATTCAAATCTTGTGAAACATAAGAGACTCCATACAGGAGAGAAGCCGTACAAATGTCAGAATTGTGCAAAATGTTTTGCTAACAGTTCAGTGCTTGTGAGTCATAAGAGAGTCCACACAAGGGAGAACCCGTACAAATGCGAGGAATGTGGGAAATGTTTTTCTCAGAATTCAAACCTTGTGAAACATAAGAGACTGCACACAGGAGAGAAACCGTACAAATGCCAAGAATGTGATAAATGTTTTGCCCAGAAATCACAGCTTGTGAGTCATAACAGAGTCCATGCAAGAGGAAAACCATACAAATGCCAGGAATGTGGGAAATGTTTCATTTACAATTCGCTTCTTGTGTGTCATAAGAGAGTCCACACAGGAGAGAGACAGTACAAGTGCCAGGAATGTGGGAAATGTTTTGCTCGCAGTTCAAACCTTGTGAGGCATACGAGTGTTCACACAGGAGAGAAACCGTACAAATGCCAGGAGTGTGGGAAATGTTTTGCTCGCAGTTCAAACCTTTTGAGGCATATGAGTGTCCACACAGGAGAGAGACAGTACAAGTGCCAGGAATGTGAGAAATGTTTTGCTCGCAGTTCAAACCTTTTGAGGCATATGAGTGTTCACACAGGAGAGAAACCGTACAAATGCCAGGAGTGTGGGAAATGTTTTGCTCGCAATTCACAGCTTGTGAATCACAAGAGAGCCCACACAGGAGAAAAACTATACAAATGCCAGGAGTGTGGGAAATGTTTTGCTCGCAATTCACAGCTTGTGAATCACAAGAGAGCCCACACAGGAGAAAAACTATACAAATGCCAGGAGTGTGGGAAATGTTTTGCTCGCAATTCACAGCTTGTGAATCACAAGAGAGCCCACACAGGAGAAAAACTATACAAATGCCAGGAGTGTGGGAAATGTTTTGCTCGCAATTCACAGCTTGTGAATCACAAGAGAGCCCACACAGGAGAAAAACTATACAAATGCCAGGAGTGTGGGTTCAGACAGAACATAATAGATGAGAGGATGACCTGGCAACTCTTGGCTCGAACAAAATGTGGGGAGAAGCACAGTGGCCTTTTGTGAGTAAGGCACCAAAGCTTTAACTGTTAATGTTGGTGTCCAGAACTTTGCATTACATTGTACACATAGGGAGACGATGGAGGAATTAGCATAAAAGCCTGGTCCAGAGCAAACAGTGACCACATTTGTTTAGCAGTGTGTCTGATATTTTCTTCTGCCCAAGGAGAAGAGGCTGGACTCAATGCCAAACACCAAAGAATCTACACAGAAGAAAGCTTATGTGTCACAAAAGGGCCCAAGCTGGAAAGAAGCACTTTGTAAATGAAGTTTCTCAGAAAGGTTTAGATTGCAAGTTACTCTTAGTAAGCTACCAAAGACTCCACACAGGAGAGTGGGGGAAATATTTTGCTTGCAATTCATGGCTTGTGAGTCAGGAGAGAAACCTTACAAATGCCAGGAGTGTGGGAAATGATTTGCGCAGGGTTCATACCTTGTATTTCGTAAGAGAGTTGACTTGTGTCTGTGGTTTCTGGGCCTCTCTTTCGTGGGGGCTGCTCTCTTCACTAAGGATGAGGTTTGCAGTCTGGGCGTGCTGTTGGACTCAACACTATAAGTAAATACCACCATATCTTCCCCAACCTGTCTGCCTTGCATGCATTTCCATGCTAACTTCAAGATGATGATGCTGACATATAGGGCCCTAAAAGGTTTGGGCCTCGACACCTGGCAGAGCGCCTTCTTCCAGTGAAATCTGTCTACCCCACTTGATCATCCCAGGCCGGACGGTTGAGCTCACTGACCCCGAGAGACGCCTGGAAAAAGACTATGTTCAGACAGGCGTTTCCAGATACTGTACCAACAGCACAGAGTTTCTTTCAATCTTAGACTACCAGCTCTGCCATCTTGCTGTGTCAATGTTTTAATGTTTATGCTTTAAGTTTGCATTATCAATTGTTTTCGTGTTCTTCTCTTTTTAGTTTAACAGCTGACTGGTATTTTTATTTAATTTTTATATTGTTATGTTTTTCCAGCTATTATTTAATATATTATACTGGTTTATTTGGTTGTGAACCACCCAGAGTGGCCTTAGTAACCAGATGGACAGTGTAAATGAATGAATGAATGAATGAACTTTAAGTTTGCATTATCAATTGTTTTCGTGTTCTTCTCTTTTTAGTTTAACAGCTGACTGGTATTTTTATTTAATTTTTATATTGTTATGTTTTTCCAGCTATTATTTAATATATTATACTGGTTTATTTGGTTGTGAACCACCCAGAGTGGCCTTAGTAACCAGATGGACAGTGTAAATGAATGAATGAATGAATGAATGAATGAATGAATGAATGAATGGAATGAAACACCAAATGGCTCTTTGATTGCAGGAAATCCCATGCTGAAATGATTGAGATAAGCAAAATATGGAAATTAGTAGCCTATAACCTCTTCCTGAGTTACGCTTGCATTAAATGCAATGATGAAAATATCTCCTATCGTGCATCAGTTCATGGAAATGGATGCACAATGAGGGATACAAGCATGAATGTGTTACTTAAGTCGCAATTTGCTGCTGTAATTTACACCACCACATCTACACTGGGATACCTCAACAGTCGGATTCTGGCCAGCATGTTCTGTTCGACTTAATCAGAAGGAAGCCATGTTAGCATCAATATCACTGATTTAGATCAGTGGTTCTTAACATGGGCGATATTGCCCCCTAGGGGACGATTTCATTTTTCAGGGGGGGCGATGGAATGAAAAGGGGCGATGTAGGGGCGAAGGAACAGAAGGTGGGTGATATGAGGGCAATGGAGCGAGCCACACCTGAGAAGGCGGCTGCAGCCATGGTACCGGCAGCAGATCCGGCAGGCGGATCCAGAGGAGCTGGTGCTGACAGTGGATCCAGTGCCGCCACATCACCATTATGTTGGGGGAGGGGGCGATGATAACTTCCTCAATGGCTCAAGGGCGCGATTCTTTCAGAAAGGTTAAGAACCACTGATTTAGATGGAAAAATCAGTTTTCTGAAACATCAGTATAATATTGGACACCACTTAACCATTTTAGGAACTACAGTAATTGAGTAGTTCACCTTGATATGGGTGATGCCACATGCATGATACCTTCTTGAAATTTTCAGGAGGTGCCCGTTGGTGGCTTTTTTCTAACTGCACATCAAGGTTCACATTAGTTTTGTTTTAGGATAAAGCCTTAGATCCTGGATGATTGCTCAGATTCTCTTAGATTATACTCCTGTGATTTTGGGATATAGAGACAGATTATGTGAGTGGATCTTCTTGTGGTAAAGAAGGCCCTACTTCAGGGCTGGGAAGTGAAACATGCATGACCAGTCACTCCGTGGTCCAAAGATCTCCATGCTTCAGTTGTATCTGAAGGCATGTTTTATAGTGGCCCGCTTTGTCTGGATACTTTTGTGGTAAAAGGGTGTCATGTATTGGCCCATATCCTTAACTCCACAATTACTGATGTTTCCTTTTTTCAGAGTTAACTGTGGATTGCTTTTAATCCTGCCCTCCTTTCCCTTTCTTATAATAATGACAATAATCGTGAAATGTGTTTTGGGCAAAAACTGATCTTTTGAAAATATGCCTTCTAGCCTATACAGTGTACCTGGTTTGTCGAATGAGAAGGCAGAGGATGCATTCCAGGTCTATTTTTAGTCTTTTGGTATTATATTTCCAAGAAAAGCGATCCACTGATTATGTTTTCCTCAATTATTATATAATCTAAAGTCCCTGAGAAATTTAAAACTCAGAGGTCACCTGTCCCTACCTCCACACACATCTCACCTGGGAAATGACAGGAATCTTTCCACCCACAGACCTGCCAATCTCCACCACTGTGCTTCCTGAAGCCTCTGGCTGCTGTCCTCATGCCTCACTTTCATGTCAAAGGCACTGATACGGATTGTAGTGCTCCAGAGGCACAGCTGTGCTTCCTAACTGTTTTGCTTTTCAGGATGTCAAATTCTTCAAAGAGCTTCCCTTGTGCATCAGGTACTCTTCCCCATCCCTACACACACACTTGACTCTTGTTGACTCTCTAAAAGAGCCTCCCTTATTCCATTAGAAAACAAAGACTTCCTCCTTTATTAGCATCATAGAATCGTCGTAGGGCTGGAAGGGACCTTAGAGTTCTTCTAGTCCAACCCCCTGCCCAAGGACAGATGGCTATCCAATTTTTTCTTGAAAACCTCCAGCGATGGGGCAGCCACAACATTGGGAGGCAAGCTGTTCCATGGGTTAATGGTTCTCACCGTCAGGAAATTCCTCCTTTCCAGGTTGGATCTCCCTATGATGGATTTTCCACCCTTTGGTTCTTGTCCTACCCTCAGGCGCAGTGGAGAATAGATCGATGCCCTCTTCCCTGTGGCAACCCTTCAGATTTTGGAAGACTGCTACCAGGTCTCCTCTCAGTCTTTTCGTGATGCTAATCCTACCTAGTTCTTTAAAAGTGCTTTAAGCACTAGGTGGCATAGAAGTGGCACACTTCCCTACTCCTCTTTTGCTTTTTAGGCAATTACCTGAAGCCATTGTCAGAAGGAGCTCTCCTGCCAAAACACTCACTGGATAGGGTGAGGAATCGGAGGGTGGTGGTAACAAATGAAGCTCCTTATCCCTGCCACCCACTTCCAACTGCCTCAACCTGGCTAACGGCTCAGTCAGCCTCAAACTACATATTTTATCTTCTTTTCCATCAGGGCAACCGTCTGTCTTGACAGCCATTGTCATCGTGTCTCTTCATTCTGCCTAGTGTGTTAGGTGGAACTCCTAGCCTTCCCCTCACACTTCCAGGCTAAATAGCCTCACAAACCTTCTTCACTCACTTTCCCACACACACACTCTCACTCATAAGCTCCCTGTGAGAGAAAGCAGCTATAGACACCTTGTTACTCTCACCAAAGAAGTGGCTCATTTCCACTAAACCATCCTCCCTTCCAACAGACCCACATGCTTGAAGCAGAGCACATGGGTGTGGTCAAAGAGAGAAATAGGCAAATATTGAATATTCTTGAGGCATCTGCTTCAACCTGGCTAATGGCTCAGTCAGCTCTGCCTCACCCTGTTGTATCTTCTTTTCCTGTTGGTCAACCCTCATGGCTTCACCATCATTTTCATTATGTCTCTTGAGTTCTACCCAAGTTCCACCTGCCTGTTAGGCATCACTCCGAGCCTTCCCCTCAAACTTCTCAGATAAACCATCTCATCAACATTCCTTTTTGCTCCTTTTTCCCCTCAAAGAGACAAAAGCACACAGGCAATATCGAAAAAATCCCAAGTATCTGAAAGAAAGACATGCTTCTCTTTTAATAAGCTATTTTAAAACAAATTAATGGTGTAGAATTGGCTTTGCCTATTTTGAAAGCAAATGGCCGCTTAAGGGTTTTCAGGGAGCAGCCATTAACCTCTCTGTCTCCCGTTTCAGTCTCTCTTTTCTGAAAAAAAGGGATCTGGGGGAGCAGGTGCTGATGTGTGAAGCAGGACAGAGTATACTCTACAGGAGATGCAGCAATTGTGTAAAAAGCCAAAATTACACAGGCAACTCTCAGTAGGATGCAAAACAGCTCAAAGTTATAGCTAAAATCTCTGTGGGAAACTGCAGTACCAAGACTAAACAGATAGGTGCCTTCAATCAGAGAAAAAAGCCAAGGATGCCCACTAATCTGAGGCACAGGAAATGGGAGTGGAGGGAGATGGGGGGAGAGAGAGGAAAAAAAATTGTAGAGGCTTTGTGGATGCCTTGTCTTCCTGGCAGATAATTTTAAACAAGTTCCTTTTCCTGCCTAAAGCTGGCTGGTAAGCTCAATGATTTAGGGGGTGTGAGTTTGATTCCCCTCTATGCCTCCTGTGAGTACAGCCAGTTTTACCTAAATTTCCAGGAAACTGGAATAGAGAAAGGGAGGGGGAGAGAGATAAAATTGTGGATGACTTCTCTCCCTGGCAGATCGTGCTTTAAATCAGTTCCTTTTCCTGTCTGCTCCAATGACTGAACAGGCAGAGAGCAAGACTGCTCATCCATGTGCTCAGAGAGGAGATTAAATTAGTCTCTACTTTGCTCGGCTTCAGTCACGTGATAGGAAACCACTCAAGAGTCCTGCCTATTTTCTTTTCTTTAAAGGTGGTGTTCATTGGTGGTCCTGCACATCTTCCCCCGAACAGGAAAATTTCGGCAACTTTAAACAGGACACTTTGAAAACAATAGTGCTCACTATCCCCACAGGTCTTTTAGTAATAAGGCTCTTTGGTAGCAGATCTGAGGGGTTTCACTATCCCCACATGTCTTTTAGTAATAAGGCTTTTTGGTAGCAGATCTGAGGGGTAAATACCTCAAAAGCTCTTGTTTCCATGTAATAAACTTAATATCTGCAGGGTGTTCATCTTCACATGTAGTCGAAGAGGATGTTTCTGCTGTGATTAATTTCAATCATATTGTCAAATACCCCATTATCATAGGCATCCTTCAGTCTTGAGAGACTATGGTAATGTGCTCTGTATGGAGGACTTGGAACAGCATCTAGTGTTTTGACGCTGTACGTGAAGCTGGGGTGTCCTCTCCAGGGCACGATGCCTGGGTAAAATGTGGAGGATAGGCTGTTACCCAAGCAGCAAATCCCCCCTTTCCACGTCACTGAAATAGTCCCACAGGAGTTGACAGAATGACACAAACTGCCTCCGGGACTCCGGCTCTGGATTTTGCCTCGATGTTAACTACTGAAGCCTTTTCTATCAGTGGATATAGCCACAAGGCAGTGGAGGTTTTAAGTCAGAGTTTTCCTTCTCCTAGATGGGCTGTCTTCCAGGGCTGAATGAGTCCCACCTACCCGTCCTGTTCCCTCATGGCATGGATGGAGATGGTGGCGCCTCAGTGGGGGTTTGAAATCAGAGTTTTCCTTCTCCTTGATGGGCTGCCTTCCAGGGCTGACGAGTCCCACCTACCCGGCCTGTTCCCTCATGGCATGGACCATACGCCATATATTATCATATTAATAGTGGAGGGCAGT